AACGCGTATGCTAGTTTCTTGACAGTAGTGTAACAACATATGTCCTCCGTGGACATGATGAGCCTGTAACAGTTTCTTTTGCTGCGAAATTCTAATATGCCGCGAAGGAGTTGGCCATTTCCATGTTTGTTGGGCAGAGAGGAAGCGGAACGAGGTCTAGTATCGTAATTGTGTGAGCGGCTCGCCCGTCTCTACATGGAAGACTTTGAAGGCAACAACTCTTTGCCTGGAGTCTTCTTGTCAAGTTTTGTACTTCTGAACCAATTGCAGAAACGAGCTTGGACTTGAAAAATTAGAAACAGGAAAATATGTGCCATTCAGGTATAATCTTCTCGAAGCAGCAACATGGAAACTATGAAGGCGCCATAATAAGTTGATTGGAGTCCAAATATGTCTGTAGTCAGTGACTACGACCGGAGGAGAGCGCTGATTTCCCTTTTCTTTCATCATGCTTCAATTAGAACCAAGCGATACAAGGAAAGCATTTCAGCGTAGAACAATCACCAAAGCCCTGTAATGTGGGTGTGAATTCATCTTTCTATGCGAGACTTGTGTAGTTTCCGTGTCTGTCTCCCAAAAGTCAAAACTCAAGGTGATGCTTTATATCGACAGGCCTAGCCAAATTGTTTTGAAAGCATAACATATGGCATTCACAAACAGGGCTCTAAATCCCGCCCATATTGTAGTGTAAGCGATGTTTCTGGAACCATTCTCTTCCGAAGCTCATGTATATGAATTTGAATATCTCTCCTGATCTGATGCTCCATACTCATCAGGGGCAAGAATGCATTTCTTCCGAGACTGCTCCAAGAGAATAATCAGACAAGTATAAGTTATGAATCCCATACCGATCAGAGGAGTGAATGCTGTTGGAATTGGTAGCGCATTAGAATTAGTGCCACGAAAAACCAAGTGGCACAGAATATAGAAATTTACGTAGTTTGCAGACAATATTTCCTTATTTGGTAGTTGTCATTTATAAAAAAGTAAAATGCCAACCTCGCGAGTTTGGCGCTTCATGATAATACTACTCACTGTTGCATCTTTCACTCATCGGTGTCATGGAGACCTTTGAGCAGTCTGTGAATCTCCAATGTACGAGGCTCGTCATCTCTATTCGCACTTTTGCTGGCCGGCAAATTTTCTCGTACAATCCAGCAAGCGATCGCACGCCAAAGACAAGTGCGACACGATCGGCAGAGATATTATTGTTCCACAACAGTAACATGTTTAATTCACTTACTTGAATCAAGTATGATAAAATGCTTCTCTTGCATATTTCCCTCGAGTAATTCGTAGTCCAATCCTAGATACTATAGAATCAAGATGCTCGTTTGCTCCAAATGAGAGCATAAACCTCCAAGTCATGATCAACAGGAGAACGAAGTTTTGCATGATGGACAGGACAGACGCCTGGTCATGAGTGATTTTCATAGCCATTGGACCAGATTGATTGTATTTT